CATATTTGGAAATGAGTGGGAATGAGTTAGATAGGTGAGATGGACATGGGCAGCTGCTAGTTCCATGGGTCTGAACTCATATACCCATTTGTGTATATTGATATATCATGTACATATATGGATGTCCACAGGAATGGTACTTTTGTCTGATTGGATGTAAAACTACAGGGAGGGCTCTCAGTATTATAGTCACTACTTTTGTTTTTTTTAATAGAAATTTTGCAAGTATAGGTGTTTTGTCTGAATGTATGCCCACAGAGGACAGAAGGGTGCATCAACCCTGGTACTGGAGTTACAGATGAGCCACCGAGGGGGTGCTGGGAGTTGAACCTGGGTCCTCTGGAAGAGCATCAGTGCTTTTAACTACTGAGCCATCTCTCCAGCTCCTTTGTTTGTTTATTTTGGCAGTACCGGGGCTTGAAGCTAGGGCATCATGCACAGGGGGCAATTGCTCTACCACTAAGCTCCAGCCCCCTTTTGATAGCTGCCAGGCCCAAGCGAGAGTTCCAAGTAGACTGGAATTTGGCCTAGCAGTTTGAACATTAGGTACAGCCAATATTGGGAACAGAATCCAGGTCAATTAGGGTACCAGAGTCTATGCCAAGAGCCCTATTCTCTAGACTTGGGGAACCAGAACTTGGTGCTCCAGAACTGGTCCACGGGGAGACTCCTGTGCCAGACTCCTCTGTCTGTGGGCTTCAGGCTACAATCACTAAGCCTTTGATTAAATCTGACATATATCCTGATTGGGAAAATATGTGGACAAGACTCTATCCTTGGGATGTCAAGTATTCACTTGTTAAGACACACATACACACAGGCATCAATACTCAACTGTTATTTTTGAAATATTTTAAGATTTATTTTTATGTGTATGGATGTTTTACCTACATGCATGTCTGCTTACCACATTTACAATACCTGAGGAGGCTAGAAGAGGGTGCTGAATCCTCCAGAACTGGAGTTAACAGATACTTGCTAGTTGCCATGCTGGGAATCAAACTCAGGACCTCTGGAAGAGCATCCAGTGCTCTTAACCACTGAGCCATCTCTCCAGCCCGACTTGCTCGTTAATTAATAGGGGCTGGAGAGATGGTTCAGTGGTGAAGAGTGCTTGCAGATCTTTTAAAAGTATTTTAATGAGGTGTATAAATTTTTTTAAAGTTTTTTTGTTTTTTGTTTTTCAAGACAGGGTTTCTGTGTGTGTGTGTAGTTCTGGCTGTCCTGAAACTCATTCTGTAGACCAGGCTGGCCTTGAACTCTGCCTCTGCCTCCCTGAGTGCTGGGATTAAAGGTGTGCACTGTCACCACCCAGATTTTTTTTAAGTTATTTTTATTTTGTGTTTGGGTATTATGCTTGCATGTACTGCTGTGCACCACATACATGCCTGGTGCCCACAGTAGTCAGAAAGGTCATCAGATTCCCTGGAACTGGAGTTAAGATGGTTGTGAGTTGCCCCGTGGGTTCTGGGAGTCAAACCTGGGTCCCCAGAAGACCAGTCAGTGAGCTTAACTTGTTGACCCAGATCTCCAGTCAGATTGAAAAAAATACTTAATGTATGTGGGTGCTTTGTCTGCATGTCTGTCTGTACACCAGAAGAGGGTATTATATACCACTATAGACAGTTGTGAGCCACTGTGTGGGTGCTGGGAATTGAACTCAGGACCTGTGGGAGAACAGCCAGTGCTCTTAACCACAGAGCCATCTCTGCAGCTCATCCAGCTAGATGATTTTATTTTTAATTGGGTCT